ACAAAGCAAAATATTTTATCCAAGGATAGTGTCTCACTGTCTCAAGCATATGCCTTGGTAAGTAGTGAAGTAAGCAGAAGACTTATGCAGGCCCAAGGGGCTGGTCTAAATGATCACTTTGCTAATATGGGAGTGAAACCCAATGGAGTTGCAGGGACTCCATGTAGCTCAGGGAAGAAAGAGATTATCTGTGAGTACTGTAAAAAGTCAAAACACACTAAAGACAAGTGCTGGAAATTTCATCATGAGCTCCTACTACTTCGGTTTTAGAAGTAGTTTGATAATATAAGAGCAGGGAGTGCCAATGTTGCTGTTAGTCCAGATAGTTGAAGAGATGATGGGTAGTGAGCAGTTAACAACTATGAAGGCAGAAAATGAGAAGTTTGGGAGAGGATCCTTGGCATTCGGTATGCCTCAATGGATGCCACTTTTGATGAGCTTTTTTCCTTTTATGGTTCTTCTCTAGAGAGACATTGTCCAAAGAGGGAGGATTTGTCACACGTGTTTGCTCTTCCTCTTCCTGTTCCAGTTAAGTCTTTTGTTGAGTCTCTTCTTCCTTCAAATGAGTCAAGGGAGGATCAGTCACTTCACTCTCATTCCAGTGTTCCTATTCCTCCTCTTTTACCTCCTTGCCCTCTTTTTAATCCTAGGTTGTACCAACGGCAGAGAACCAGAAATGAGTAGATTGTTTCCCCTCCAACACATGAGCCTCATGCACTTCTAGTTACAGATGAGACAACAAGTACTGTTACAGCTCCTTTGGAGCCATCCTTCCCAGACCTTGATATCCCCATTGCTATTAGGAAAGGAAAAAGGGAGTGTACTGCACATTGCATTTTCAAACACCTTTCTTATAGTTTCCTCTCTCCTTCATATTTTGCTTACCTTTCTTTTGTTGCTTCTAACCTAATTCCCAGGTCTGTGTCAGAAGCTCTTACTATTCTAGAATGAAGAGATGCTATGAGAACAAAAATTGATGCCCTGCACAAGAATGACACTTGGGAAGTGGTTGATTTCCCTGAAGGGAAGGATCCAGTAGGCTGGTAAGTGGGTTTTTATTATCAAATATCATGCTGATGGCACCATTGAAAAGTACAAGGCTAGGCTGGTTGCAAAAGGCTATACATAGACATATGGGATTGATTATCTGGAGACCTTTGCCCCTATTGCCAAGATGACTTCTATGAGAGTTCTGTTATCTTTGGTTGCACACTCAGACTGGCCACTTTATCAACTGGATGTATAGATACATTTCTGAATGGAGAGTTACATGAGGAGGCCTATATGTCTCTTCCTCCAGGGATGTATGAAACAGATATGAAAGGAAAGGTCTGTAGGCTAAAGAAATCTCTTTATGGACTCAAACAGTCCTCTAGAGCATGGTTTGAAAGGTTTAGGGCTGCCCTTGTTAGCTTTGGCTATGTACAGACACAGTTTGATCATACCCTCTTTGTGAAKAGGAGAGGATCCTTGGCCATTTACCTGATTGTGTATGTTGATGATATTGTTGTGACTGGTAATGATGTCTCAGGGATTAACGATCTCAAATCTTTCCTTCATACAGAGTTTG